AATAAATTGTGGGCGTGATTATGCAAATTAGGAGGTGCGGCCATGCAAATGTATGTGGGGCGGGTATGCAAATGAGTTCTCGCCCCGTGTGGGGCGTTCTGGGCGCGGCGCCTCCGGGTCGGGCCGGGTCCCCTCAGCGGGCCCGGGCCGGGTCCCCTCAGCGGGCCCGGGCCGCTCCCCGCTGGGGTCCGAGCGCTCCCCGGTTATGCGGGGCCACCCCCCGCAGCCACCTCCGCCTCTCTCTGCGCCTAGCCGAGCGCCCCGCGGCAACTCGCGATCCTCGCTGAACACCGGAGATCGGCCGGACACCGTCTCTGGCACGGCCCTCACGGCGGGACGCTCCCGGCTGCTCCCGCCCCGCCGCATGCACCGGGTGCCCTCCCGGGGAATGTCCGTCCTGTACCCTCGCACAGTCCTCGAAGGGTGCAGTCGGCCCCAGCGCTGCTCCGACGTACAGGGTGGAGGGGTGCTTGAAGCTTCGACAGTAAAATAAAATCCTCAAATCAAAATTTCGTGGGGAAGTGGGCCGGGAAGAGGGCGGGTAACTCGCTTTGCAGTGGAAATGAGAGCCCAGCCCCAGCCCTGTTCCCCCAGCCGCCTCTGAACCTTGCTCAGCACCCTGGAGCTGGGGGCCCGAGTGGGGGGAGATGCAGGGAACCCCAGGGGATTGCTCTGCCCTGGCTCCGTGTTCTCTGCTCATGGATTGAGGAGCAGAAGTAACTGCAGGGGATCATCAGCGTGTGAAATCCTGGGCTTTGGGCTCAGCCAGGGCAGAGCAAGGCAGCAACAAGCCTGGGCCGCTCCGGCCGTGCAGGGCTGCTGGTGCTGGATTGTCCCAGAGAGGCTGGCACAGAGGTACCATAGGTGTCTCCCAGTGCAGGACCTGGGTGAAGTTCCTGAACAAAGGTCCTCAGGGCAGCCAGGATCACGTTAAACCGAGCTGCAGACAGGCAAGCAAGGAGGGGACAGCTGCATGCCATGGGACATGTCTCTCACAAAGTGCTCTGCCCCAAAACCCTGCTCGGGGAGCTCAGCGGCAGAGGAACCCCCGTGTGCTCGGAGTGGCTGTGCTGCAGGTCCGTGGGACCCGGCTGGGAGCACAGGGTGGGCTCATTTGTTTCCTCCACTCGGCTGAGCATTCGCCCGCAGCCGCTCGGCCCTGAGAAAAGCGGCAGGGAGGAATCCCACGGCGGCCGGCAGCAAATGCCTGCAGAGAGGAAAACCAGGGCAAGCGTGTTGTGGTATGGCCCCAGGACCGGGGGATCTACTGCCTGTGTCACAGCCGTCCCCTTGGCAAGGGGGTGTGAGCAGCACAGCCCCACAAGCGAGTTTCTTGGAAGGGCAGATGCAGAGCACATTTTGGGTACCCTGTGCTAAGGCAGGAAACAAAACCCAGCTCCAGCAAGGCTGGTTTGAGCAAGGGCCCGTGATAAGGAAGAAAGGCAGCAACAAAGGAAACAGCTGAAGCTGCTTTTGGTCCAATAGTGCCTGCGGGATGGCAGGGCACAGGCAGGACCGCTGCGCCCCAGCTGCCTCCTCCTGCCCTTTGCATCTTGGAGTGAAGTTAAAGGAGCTCAGGCAGGAGGAGGGAAAGAGAAAAGAGCCAACGTCTGTTTGTGTTGAAGCCACCCAGCATTTTTTTGCAGACATCAGCCAAGCAGCAGCAGCAATGCCTTTGGTGGGAAGACAGAGTTATTTGGGGAATGCTGGACTCTGTACCATGAGAACAGCAGGGGAGGAGGTTGGTTTTAATTTAACAGGCCATGTTTACTCTTCCCCTCTCACCTTTGGTCTGTCTGAAGTGTGCAATGAAAGCCTCCCCCCACCAGGGAGGAAGGGGCCATGGGTGCTTCCCCCTCCTCCCAGCTGCTCCCAGGGCCCCCCGGCCTGGCCGCCCTGCAGTGCCTGTGTGCAGCAGCCTCCCACGTCGCAGACCCAGGGCAGGGATTTCTCACGCAATAAACAATCAGACAGATGCAAAGCCTCAAAAATACTCAGTTTTAATCTGTAAACTTGCAAAGAAGAGACCCAGGGGCAGAGCAGAGGTGAAGGAGGCACTGGGGCAGGCAAGACACGAGCAGTCAGGCGCAGGGCCAGGGAAGATGCTGATGGGGACGGATGTGGTGGACAGTCCCTGGCTCCTACGTGCAGGAGTGCCATACCCTCCACAGCTGCTCTCTGCATCAATGCTTCAGCTACACAACCAAATATTCCCTGACCTCTCTGGATAGTGCTCAGGGGAGTGGACAGAGTGCTCGAGGTAGCAACAGAGCTGGGCTGAGCACCAGGGATGTTCCTGAGCCCCAACAGAGCAGTGTTTGCTAGCTGAAGGCTCTCAGGCATCTGGTTTGCAGAAAACGGGTTCCAGCTGCTAATTGCCAGAAGCAGGAAAGCATAGTTGTATTACATGGGCAGTGATGGGGGAGAAACCCAGCCTGGCCTGGGAGGTGGTGGGGCTGGACCATCACCCATGCCACCATGGGCATCTCCTGCAGGAGGCTGGAGTGGTTTAGTCTGGAGGAATTGAAATGAAAAAGGTTTTTCTTGTTAAAAAAAATAAATTCTCTAATTTCTGTGGCTACAACATGGAGGAAGTAAAGTTTTTCCAAATTGCTGTGTGTACCAGAAATGCCCCAAGCATTGCTCGGATGCTCCCAGGGGAATTTTACTTCTCACATCAGCTGTGTGGGCAGGGAGCAGGTTTGGCTGGACCCTTCCAGCCTTTCTCAAGCAGTGCCAGGATACAATGGGGACATCATTGCCTTTGTGGTGGCAGGAGGATAAAAGCCATTGGCAACAGCTGCAGAAATGAAGAGCCACAGCCGAGTGAGCGTGGACATCAGGGTGTGGGGCAGCCCAGGGGGGCAGAGTTGAGGTTCCTTGGATGGAAGCCAGAGCCTGGCGGCACCAGGGACACAAGAACTGGACCAGGCCCTTCCAGTTGAACAACAGTAGTGCTGTGAGCAGGAATAGCTGCAGGGGAAGACAGGACCGGGGGCTACAAGGGGGCTCATCCATGGCACAGCCCCTCCAGCCACTCCAAGGGTCCCTCAGTGAGGTGTGTGGCTGTGTCCTGCTCCCTGCTCATGTGATGGAGGTGATGGATCACCACGGCTCGCTGCCCAGGCTGGCAGTCACCACACCATAGTGATTTCTATGGTGGCACACAGGTCATTGCTCTGCAGGGCAGCAGGATTTGAATCTTGGCATCAGGACAAGGGCTCTCCTCATGCACTCTGCTCCACTGTACTGCCCCATCCACCTTGGCTTGTCAAAGCTTGGTTCCGTCCAGTGCTTGAGGGCAGGACTGGGCCTTGCTCTGCCTCCTGCCTGGGCCCCCAGGCCTGCCAGCTCCTCTGGGCTACCCTCAGGAGAAGGCACAGCAGCTGGATTTCTTCTTCTGTGACTCGATGTAATCATGGATCTGGAAGCGGGGCTCATCCAGAGACTGCACTGCACGCTGCTTCAGCTCCCTAGAGCAGTGGGGCTGTTTTACCCCCTCCCACACTGTGCTGGTGTGTGGGAGGGGGTGGAGCTGCAGGGGACACCTCCCTTGCTCAATCCCCTGACCCCAGATACTCACTTGGCAATGGCCAGGAAGGCCAGCTCCACGTTCATGCCTGTCTTGGCACTCGTCTCCATGAAAGGCACTCCATACTCCTGCAAGAGCAGCACGACCCCATCAGTGGCTGTCCCCAAGATGCCCCCTGGCCCTCTGAATCATCCCTGTAGCTTGGACAAGGCTTGAGGATCATCCCCTCCTTGCCTTCCCCAGGTTTTGCATTCAAGTGAATGCTATGCTGCCCCTGCAAGAGCCAGGTCTGGGCACTCAGAGGGGATGGCATGGCTGCATGGGAACCCTGAGTGACAAGAAATTGTCTGGGGGGGCTGAAGTCAGGTTAGACCCTGGCAAAACTCACCCTGGCCAGTGATGCTCCATCCTCTGTCCTCACAGCCCTCTCACTGCTCACATCAGCCTGCAAAGGGAAGGAAAATGTCACCACACACCAGGCCAGCTGGCACCCTGAGGCATCTGGCAAACCAGCAGTGTGGGGTGTTCAGGGGCAAGGAACAAGGGGCATTATGGATCCAGAAGTAACTACTGCCCGGAGAATCTGGGTTCTGTGGAACATCTGGGACCCAGTAGAATTGAGAATATCAGGGGGCACCTGGGACCTGGGGACACTGAGGACCTGGGGCAGTACCTGAGGGCATCCAGGACCCAGAGAGGCTCTGGTACCCTGCTGGGCATCAAGTACCCAGCATCATCCAAGATCCAGGGGACATCCAGTCCCAGGGGGAAATCCAGTTGGGCACTGGGCACTCAGCAGCATCCAGGACTCCTAGAGAGAATCTGGGACCTGGTTGGGCCTCTAGGGCTTGGGGTTACCTGAGGTACAGGGGGTGCATCCAGGCCTGGGTGGGCATCCCGTAGTCAGCAGTATCCCATACCAAAGCATCCCATACGAGGAGCATCCCGTACCTGGAGCCTCAGCCTCGTGCTGCCACCCGCTGGCTACCAGGAACACCGCCCTCCCCGACCCCCCAAAGCCCTGGCATCCCCTCGGGGCCTGGCTGAGCCCAGAAAGCGGCAGAGCCCAGCGAAGGGTGTGGGCAAAGCTCCATCCCTGCACAGCCATGGGGATGGCAAGGGCATGGCAAAGCACAGCAAACCCCAGGGTGGACGGGGACCCTGCACACACCTTATTGCCCAGCAACATGATGACCACGTCCTTCTGGGCATACTCATGGATCTCCGTCAGCCAGGCCTGTAGGGCAGCAGGACTGTGTCAGGGTGAGGGGCACTCCTGTCCCTCCCAACTCAGCTCTTCACCCCTCAGTATCCCACTCCCTTTTCTCTCAGGCCTCACACCCCCTCAGCACCCCCGTCTCTCCCCGACAAGGACAGGGATAATGACTTTTCTTGGCACAGGAATTACTCCAGCATCACAGACGAGCAGTCCTGAAAAGGCCCCGCCCCATCTCCAAGGGCACTAGCTCACATCCTTCCCAAACCACGTTTTCCCCCTCAGGCATTCACCTTAAACAAAACTCACCCAGCCATGCAGCACCCAGCCAGGTGCCCTGGGATGAGCTCCCAGCTGGTTGGGTCTGGCCAGAACAGCCAGTGCTTACGGGTAAAACAGGCTCCCAACTGTCCCAAACACCCAGACAGCCAAGCAGGGCACCCCAGTCCCTGGGGAGAAACACTCCCGACCCATGGTGGGACTCACACGGATGTTGTCGAAGGACATCTTGCTGGTGATGTCATAGAGCAGGAGCAGGGCTGGAGGAGAAGAGGCAGAGGCATTGCTACACTGCAGGGATGTGCTCTGGGTGGTCTCCCCATCCCTGCTGGACCCCAAACTCACCTTGGGCATCCCGGTAGTAGGCATGGGTGACGCTGCGGAAACGTTCCTGTCCTGCTGTGTCCCAGATCTGCTGAGAAACTGCCCTGGTGAGAGCAGGGAGAGCAACCTCCCCAAGCTGGGTCTGCTCCTGTGGCTCACAGCCCTGCTGGATCACCACGCTCAGCCTGAGGTGGGTTTTCATCTGGAAATTTCTTCCCCCCTCCCAAAGCTCACCTGCAACTTCACCTTCACACCATCCACGACCACCACTTTGTTCTGCAGAAGACAAGGAGAGCACGTTTATCAGCCCAAAGGTGCATGTGCCAGCTAGCCCTGGTGCTGAGCCAGCATTCCACGGCCCCTCAGCTGTTCTCCCCAGACTAGTGGGATAAAGTCAAGCCTGTGGGGCTGGACGTTGAAGCCTCATTGCTACAAACCATAATCCTGCTGGTTTGGCAGCTACAGGGACATCCCAGAGCAGCAACCCCTCAAGTCAGGGCGAAGAGCAGAATCAGCAGAGATGAGACAACAAGATCCCAGGCTGCCTCAGATCCAGTGCCTCGTCCATCTCCTACAGGCAGAGTCCCTGTCCCGAGGCTCCCAAGTCCCCTAATGATCAGTCGATGACATTGGCTGTCCAGAAAATCCCAGGAACCTGCTCTGGCTCCTGCCAGGAAACTCTGGGATTGCAGCAGCTCCTGGAAAGCTGGCAGAGCTATGGAAGTGGGGAGGCATGGATGAACCACACATAAATTTGCATTTATTAATAACACCTTGGTGTGCTTTTATGTTTGCTCACCAAAGATCACCGAAGATCTTTCCGACAGGACTCTTCAGCTCCATGTACTCAGGAACTGCTGCTGCACTAAAAATTTAACCTGTTGGCAGTAATTTAAGGGCTTTGGATGCTACAAACTGCCTGGGCACACACACTGGGTGATGCTGGGTGTCCCACTCAGGTTTCCTTGCTGGTGGAGCCTTGCTTGGTTCTTAAAGGAGGTAGTAAACATTGAGCTGGAGGGGCTGCATGTAGCACACAGCCACATGCAGCACAGCAGGAGGAAATCTCCTGGGTCAGGATGGTTTGCAGCCAGGCTGGGCTGGTACTGGGAGAGGAAAGAGGCATTTCCAGCTGAGCTGGGAAGGCAGCTATTGAGGCTTAAGCAATTTTCATCTTGGAAGCGCAGGCGCTTCTCTCCAGAGGCCAGAAAAAAAGAAAAGCAAAAACTACTGAAAAGCTATTTAAAGACTCTTAAAGAATCATACTTGGAGTGTGGAAAGAAAAGACCCCTATAAATAATTTGCTTTCCTGGAATTGTTTGAAATGGAAATTCAGCCCATGTGGAGATGACAGCACTTGAGCAAATGGGCTGGATAAAACAAAAACATGCCCTAGGAGACTCTGGAGATTACCTCAAGCAGCGAGCCATGAGCTGCTGGAGGGGACACTTGCATGAGGCAGAGCAGGCACCTACAGGCTGGCAACATCTCTGGGGACACTGGCAATGAGCCCAGCAGTGGGATGCAGCAGATTTTCCTTCTTTCATGACTTTATCATAAGGACAGGCCCCTTTAAACCAAACCCACAGTTCTCTCTCTCCCCCAGCCTTGATCACCAAGCCCCGAGTTCCACCAAAAGCCAAACACAGCCAGGGCAGCAGCAGTGGCAGAAAACTGGAGCAGCTGCAGCTGTGGTGGAAGAGGAAGCACTGACCACACACAACACAGGTCCGTGGCTGTGGTCAGAGCCCTGCCCAGGGACACCCCTGTGACTTCCTTCCTGCTCTGTCCAGTACTGCAAACAGCTGTGCCTCCCTGGACACCCTTAGAGAGACCCTGAAGCTGAAATTTGGTGAGCAGAGAGCAGCATGAACAGGATCTGGTAACCCTAACAACTCCTCAGCAGCCCATTTCAGCCCTTTCAAGGCATGAAATTACAGCAACCAGTGTTTGTCTCCTCCAGCTGTTGGCTTACATGGTGGAGTGTACTGCCTGCCCAGCACACACCCCCAGCTCAAGAACACAGATGAGATGGGATAAGCCTAGACTGTCTGCTGATTTAAAATAAGAGGCGACAGTACCTTGTCTGTCTGTTACTGCTCTCCCAGGGAGGGGTGTTCAGCAAGCACCTGCTGCTGGTTGGGAGATAACTGGGGGTACAGAGGCTGGAACCCCCCTGTTCCCCTTCCCCAGCACCCTGTCCTGGCCAAGGTGTGGGTCGAGGGAGGCGAGGGGCTGGCAGTCGTGGTGGTCTCACCCGGAAATCTATGCCCACGGTGGCTATGAACGTCCCGGAGAGAAAAGCCCCGTCTTTGAACTGGAGCAGGAAGCAGGTTTTCCCCACGCCCGAGTCTCCAAGTAACATCACCTGCAAGATGGGCGCAGGGAGAGATGTGAGCAGGACAAAGAGGGAGCAGCACCCCTGACTGGTGCTGAGCCCTCCCCAGTTCCTTCTCTCCCTTCATTTCTTTCCCCAGGGCTGATCCTGATGGGTTTGGGAAGCCTCATGGGAGCTGGGTGTGAGATGGGAGCTCTGTGGGTGCAGCCAAGCGGTGCCCCAGGGCAGCAGAGCAGCTCCCAGCCGTGAAAGAGATGGAGAGCTGGTATGAAAGCAAGTACTGCAGCAAGAAGAGATATCTCCTAGCCAGCCCATGCCATCTCCCAGCCCAGGAGGCTCCTAGAACAACCACAGCTCCCAAATGTGTGGAGCCACCTCCACCCACGCTTTGCCCCTGAGCCAGGTGTGCCCAGCCCAAAGGCTGATGCATGGCTTGGGCAAACCCTGCATGTCCGGGACTCTCTCCCTGTTGGTGCCTGCTGCAGACACCAAAGCAAACACGGTGCCTTTCCCCTCCTGCTAAGCAAACAGGATCAGCCCAGGCCCTCCAGCTGCTCCAGCACTGCCGGACTCAGGCAGGGAGCAGCCAGGACCAATGCTGGGCTCCAGAAGCTCAGCCTTTCCTGATGCTGTGTTCTTTCTGCCTACCTGCAGCGACCTGTTCCTGCCCAGCAATCATTAACCTGACTGCATCTGGCCCCTTATGAAAAATAGCAGTGAGCAGGATTTCAGCAGGAAGGTCCATCCCAGCACACCCTCCCTGAGAGCACGCTGAAGCTCACACAGTAAATCCCTGCAGCCCCACTGCCTCTGGGTCAGCCCAACACAGCCACCTTCCACAGGGATGGCACAGCAAATGCCAAAGCTGGTGGCCAGAAATGCTCTGTCTCCTGCTACCACTTTGCTGGTCAAATCCTTCCCCAGGACTTGTGGGGAGTTGAGAACACTGCTCAGTTCTGCCTACACCTCGTTCTAGACCAAACTGAAAACTGGTTTTCTCCCTCAGACACGGAAATTGCCCTCCACGGAGAGGAGTCAGAGAGAGGAGGATAAAGGCAGAGGAATAAAAGCAGTTTAGAGAAAGTGGCAGCACGCAGGACCACTTTGGAACCGGCTCAGTGAGGCAGCAGGGAGTGTCGGGGCTGCCACCATCCGTGCTGAGCTCAGCCTAGGGCTGTATATTGAATTTTGAGGGTAAAAGGTTCATCAGTCCCGTGCCTCCCCTGAGCTGCTCGGATGAGGAAGGTGCTTCCTGGGGCAACCCTTGCCTGGGCTGGGCTGGGGAAGAGGGGGACGCTCAGGAAATAGGGGTCCCCCCGTGCCCCAAGGCGTGGCGGGGGTGCAGAGACATTCACAAGCGCCATGCTGTGGTGTGGGTGAAGAGGGACCCTGGGCTGGATCCGGGGCTCAAATGCTGCTCCCACCTCGGAGCCCTTGGGATGCTGCGATCGCCTGCATGGGGTCGCGCTTCCCCTGCCCTGTGTCACGGGGGACATTGCTGCGGGGCTGGAGGAGCCCCTTGCCCTGGAAAAAGTCTGCGGGCTTTCAGGGTTAGGGTTCGGCCGTGCTGCTCTGCCCCCGGGAGCCCCCCAAAGCCCAAAGCTGCCGCTGGTCCCTCCTATTGCCGCTGCTGGGCAGGGCCAGCCCCGGGGCACAGACCGCACCCCGCACTCCCGGAGCAGGGACCCCATCCCCAATGCCCACACCTGCTGTATCGGGGCCTCTCGGGGCAGGGACCCCATCCCCAATCCCTGCACCTGCTGTATCGGGGCCTCTCGGGGCAGGGACCCCATCCCCAATGCCTGCACCTGCTGTATCGGGGCCTCTCGGGGCAGAGACCCCATCCCCAATCCCTGCAC